GAAAATGATAAAAACAATAATAGCAGCCTTAATTGAAAGAACCATTACTCACAAACTGGGAGTTAAACCTTGAAAATTTGGGATTTATCTTATTTTATAATGTACTAACTATGGTTAAAATATAAAGAAAATCCAAGGACATTGGGTTGCATGGCCTTGTTGTTTTGATGTGGAATTACTCGTCATGAAATTTAATAAAATTTTGTGGTGCAAATTTACAATTTTATTAAAAAGTTATAAGATACAGTTTTTTTTTTTAAATCTTGTTTCTTTAATTTTACTTATGCAAGCGTTGCCGTTTGATTAAGATTTTTCAAAATGAACGTATCACTATAGCAATTTTTCAAAATAATTTTGGGATCAATAGTTTTTTTATTTATTATAAAAAACACATATTTAAAATGAAAAACAATTAATTTCAGAGACTTTTTTAAAATAATGCCAAAAAGTAATTACATTTTTCAATAGCATCACTTGTAAGTAAAATAGCTAAGTACGCCATAGAAGAAAGTAATTATGTTTAACATGGTTTTTGCATGCGCTCACAAAAGTATGCATAATTTTACTTAAAATAAATGCTTTTGCAAAAACCTCAGAAGAAACTGTCCTTAAACAATTCGATTGCTTTCTTTTATTGAAGAAAGCGATCGTAATGTTTAAGCATGGTTTAAATTTCATTATTTTCCATAAAGTGAAATAATGTTTGTTTGCATATTGAAAGCGCTCATTAATTTGCGCACTTTAATTTTTTTTACACATTTGCAAGCTTTGCAAATGTGTAAAAAAAAGTTTTTTAAAAATAACAATTAAATAAATTTACCAAGCATCTTTGATATATTTGATAACTTATAAATAGAATAAAAATTAGACGTTAGTCAATAAATAAATATACGCAAGTCAATGTTCATTAAAAAAAAACGATATGTCACGCCCTAGGATAAAAAATAGTTGGCAAATGTGACTGTTTCAACATTATTGTAATTCTTTTTTTTAGTAAATAATTTTTATTATTAGAAGTTATCTTATATCTATCATAAAACGGTTTGTAATTATTTTTGATAACTTCTGTACTCATTTTGCCTTAAACTCTAGTCTGAATATTTTTTTCAATGATGGCTTTTATTAAGTTGCATTTAAGTACTCAGGAAATTTTGTTGCAGTTTAATTGTAATTATGGAATCAATTAAATTAAAAATCGCATTTACATTTGCTTTGTTTTTTTTAGCGCATTTTTAAACCTGCTTATAATCAAAACTTGCAAAGAGCCGTGGTCAAGTTGTTAAAACAAAGATATATATGTGTGGTCATATATGGCGTGCGATCGCATGCCTCTTATGAGTCGGCCTGAGATAATTTTATCTTTTTTGACACAAATTATTAAAACGATTTATAAGTTAAAAGATGCAAACTGCAGTGGTCAGTTTGTCTAAAAAAATTACTTTAATTTAGGACAAACAAGTCATGCCACTACACACGCTTCCCGGGAAGGCTTGATATATATATATATATATATATATATATATATATATATATATAAAACCCTCGGAATTAGGGTCGGCATTCGGCAATGCCGACCTAACTGCCAACCTGAAAGTGTTTGAGGTCGGCAAAAAATTGTCAACCTCGTTTCTATATTTTATGGTCAGACCAGACCTTTGTATGATTAAATTTTTGCCGACCTCAAAAAGATTGAGGTCTGCAAATTATTGCAGACCTCATTTTTCCTAATTCCGAAGGTTATATATATATATATATTAGTGATGTATCGATATCACTTTTTTGGCCGATGCCGATGAATGGGAAAAGGCTGATACCGATGCCGATACCCATGAATTTACTAATTATTAAAAATTTGAAAATATGAAACCATACAAATTTAAATTGGGTTTGGTAAACAAATACTTGGATTCAAATCAAAGCCCAATAATAATTTTTAAAAGATATTAGAAAAACTCAGTTAAAAAAATATACATTTTAATTTTTTTTCTACTATGAAAAAAAAACTTTCAAAAAAAATAAATACAATTTTAGAGGAACGCTTTTTATTTTGATTTTAAAAAAAGAAAATACGCATATGCAGTTTACTTAGAATTCTTTATTAGTTTATTAGTAATTCAGATATCTAAACAACTATTATATGTTGTTTAGACGAATTATTTTTAGATAAATAAATTGTTTTTAGAATTATTTAATTTGTAATGTTGGATCCCCACCACGTCCCTGGTAGTACAGCGCTTAACTTGTTTCTAAACAAATTTCTCACATTCCATCTCGAGTCAAATAACTTGCTGTCAGATAAATAACTATTATAGTACTGTCAATATTCCTCTATTGATGAATGGCAACCCTCTCACTGATTCCACTTTTTTACGTCTTGGATTATCATTTACTACTGACTTATGGAAACCATATATACAATCGATTGCTAAATTAGCATCTGCTAAGGTTGCTTCTTTTTATCATTTTCTTTCACCATTTTCTTTCACCATCACCATTTTCTTTCTCTTGATTCCATTCCCTACCTCTACAAATCTCTTATTCGTCCCTGTTTGGAATACTGTTATCATATTTGGGCTGGTTCTTCTAATGATGCTCTTTCTCTTCAAGATAAAGTTTAAAAAAAACGCATTGTAAACAGAGTTGGACCCAGTCTGTCTGCAAAGCTTGAGCCTCTTTCCCATCATTGTTAAGTTGCATCTCTTTCTCTTTTCTACAAATACTATCATGGTTGCTGCTCAAAGAAGCTTTCATCTTTAGTTCCATCAATCAAAACTTATTCTTGCTTGACTTGACATTCATCAAAGTCTCATTCTTTTACTGTATCTGTCAATTCATGCTCCAAAAATGTTTATTTGTCTAGCTTATTTCCACGCACTTCAACCCTTCGGAACCATGTCCCATTTTCGTATTTTCCTGACTTATACAACCTTCAACTTATTAAGTAATTTGTAAAGTAATTTTAAAATATTGGAAGCAACCACTCAGACATGGTTGCTTCCAATGTAGTTCAAGTCGTTATTGAACAAGAGCACGATTACCCCATAGTACACAAAGTGAGTTAAATTTTTTTGGCCAAAGTGCATGACTTTAAATTTTTTCGCATTTAGCTCCATTTGCCTAAAGTGGTGCATTTAAAATAAAATTGTGACTCGATCTTTTTTATTCTAATCTCCTCTAATTGACAAAGGTACTGAATAATTTGGCTTGCAGCAACTTTTTTGTTAGTAAAGATGATAAGATTGGGCCTCCTACTTTGGGTAGTCTGTTTAGTGATTTGACATCTGATTATTTTAATATAAAAATAATAAAGAAATATATATATTATTAATATATTTTATACAACTTCTATAAAATATAATTGTTACTTAACTTTATAAAATTGTTTATAAAACCGTTTTTTTTATTATTTTAATATAAAAATAATAAAAAAAACGGTTTTATAAACAATTTTATAAAGTTAAGTAACAATTATATTTTATAGAAGTTGTATAAAATATATTAATAATATAGTATAATAAAATATATAAATTATATAAAATATATTAAAATATTTTATAGAAATTAGTTTAAAAAAATAGTATAGATGTGATATAGAAAAGTTTGCATACACTGTTCACTGTAATTAAAATGAAATTGTTTACTATATATATATATATATATATATATATATATATATATATATATATATATATATATATATATATATATATATATATATATATATATATATATATATATATATATATATATATATATGTATATATGTATATATGTATATATATATATATATATATATATATGTATATATATATATATATGTATATATATGTATATATATATATATATATATATATATATATATATATATATATATATATATATAATAATATAATAATACATATATATATATAGCATATATGCTATACTAGTATATATGTATTATTATTTTTATTCTAGTTGTTATTATTATTGTTATTACTATTATTAAATTCACCTCCCCAAAGGTCTAGAGAGAGAGGTTGTATTTTTTTGATTTTATTTGCAATTCTCTTTCATTCCTAAACCTGAAACACTAACACTGCAGTTTAAGGTCATTCCCCTAAAAAATATGTTTAGCGCAGTACTTCTAGAGGTTTAAGGTGGATTTGAACTCTTGATTGTCTTCTATTATTACGCTACTATTTTTTTAATTTTGATTCACTCCCAAAACCACTTAATAGTGGTTGCTGGAAGCAACCACTATTAAGTTGGGAGTTATAAAAAAAAGTTAAAGAGCTAAAAATAAAGGATATAGTTATAGAGCAAGTAAAGGATTGGCCGAAAAGTTGAAGTTTGTATGAGTCAGAAAAACATAAAGATGGGAGAGAGAGAGTTCCAAGGAGTTATAGTGTGGGGGAAAAAAACAAATAGTTTTTTTCAGTAAATAACTGAGTTTTTTTGGAGTAAAAATTTACAAGCCACTGCAAACCCCAACTAAAATAGGACCAAGGATAGAACCTTGAGGTACCGCAGAAGTTACTAGAAATAAAGAAGAGTGTTGGCCTTCAAGGATGACTTTAATAAAGCAGTTAGAAAGAAACGATTTGATAATCTCAAAAACTTTACCAGATACTCCATATGAGTCAAGCTTATGGAGAAGACCAGCATTCCAATTATGCGAACTTTCTGAGACCACATTTAATCACAATTTATGCGAACTTAATGGCAAGATAGTATATACTTTTATCCTATGTTTTAAGCTCCCTTTACTTTACTCAGAATCTAAAATCAACCTGGATATGTCATTGTATATACCAGTATAGCATATATAATATGTATATATATAAAGATAACTGTGCATCAAGAATCATGTTAAGCATAACAGTCATCAGCTTTTTTTATTTTGTATTTTATGTTAATAGTTGATTAAAAATAATTTTTTTTAAGAAATTTTTTAACTTGTCAAACATTGTCAAATAGTTTAGCTGAAAATATATTACTTATTACCTATCTATTTTTAGCTGGAAGGTACCAACTCAAATTTTGCTGTAGGAACATGCACTTATGGCATTACAAATGCTTTAAATTTAAATGTAAGGTTTTTTTATTTTCTCCTTTTTTATTTTATTTTTTAGTTATTTTAATCTTTTATATAATTCTAGATCTCAGAGTCAGAACAACCCCTAAATCAAACTAAAAGTCGAAAGAGAAGAGATGTCCTCCCTTCAATTGTATGTTATTTTTTTCATTAAATATTGTTTAAAGTTGTGTACTCTAGAAAACTGAATTTATTAAAAATATTTAAGTTGGAAGGTTGTAATAAAAGTAATACATAAAGTTGGTGTTTTTTTGTTTTAGTTTTTTTAATTTAACATCCAAGATTTCACATTTGTGGGATTTAGATGGATTTACATAATGGTTTACATAATGTTTTTATTTAAATACAAGATAATAAAACTGTTAAAGCAAAATTTTACTATAGAATACCCTTAATGCCAATAGCCTTTTTTGCAGATGACGTTTTCATTTATAATACCTCCTAAAAAGTTATCTATGGTTTACAAGCTCATCCTACCTTTACCCATATTTAAATTATTTTATACCAAGGTGTTCCTTCTCCTGGGTAAGTTATCTTCATCAAAACAAAAGAATCTCAAATGCTTTAATATAAAATCAGGTTAACGCTGTGATCAGGAATAGTGTGTGTGAAATAAACAGTTGGATCTGGTTAGCTAAAAGAAAGTAGTGATTTTAGTTTTTATAGTTTGAATAACAACTAAATCATTACTTTTTTAATAAAGCTATGCTTTGTTAAATTTGAATAATATCTCCTGCAGATTCTTTTTTTATTATTATTATTATTACTTATTTGAAAAGATTTCAATTCAGCCAGGTGCACTATGTTTCACTCAACTTTTATAACGTTAAAAATTTAAATCTTATGCGATGCAATGACTTCTCAAAGGGCGAAAATCTCTAGAAAAACAATAGGGGAAGTACAGCTATTCTGTACTCTAGAGCACTTTCTTTTTATATTGTTTTAGAATCATGATATAAATTTGTGAAATGTCATCAAATAGAATGCTAAGTTAACTTTTTTATTTTAGCAATGTGGGTCTAGTGGTGTCAAATGTCGTTTAATAGAATGCAAAATTAATTTTTTGCAGAAATCTGATTCTGTTACCGTAACAGTTATTTCAACACTGGTTGAAGCTACTTTTGACAAGGTTTTTTTTAAACTAATTTTGTGTGTGTGTGTGTTACAAATTTAAATACAAATTGCTACTTCATCATTGTATATCTATGCTACTTCATCATTGTATAAAACTTTAACATATCTTCTAAATGTTGTGTAGATAATGATTGAAAAATTTGTTTAATATTTTAGAATGTTTTAGATAGACACCTTTTTTAGGTTTAAACTTTTCAATTTGTTTGATATTAGGATTATTTTGCTGTAAATAGTATGCTAATAATATTTTATTATTATAACTATAAAATTTTAAGTTACATTTACAATGATTATTTTGATGTTGATGATGGTGATAATGAATGATGATAACGATGATGAAGGTGATGATTATCATCATTATCATCATCATTACCATCATCATTCATCATCATTACCATATTCTTTATTAATAATGATGATGAATGATGATAATGATGATGATGATTATGATGATGATTATTTCCTCAATTCAATTTTCAGACATAAAAATTAGGATAAATATCTCGTAGCACATTTTTTCCCAGAAATTTATTTGCTCTTCAATCAAAGAATGTCATGACTTCCTGAATTTTAAATTTCTTTCAAACTTACAAGAAATCTACATCAATTAATTTATTTGTACAGTTGACTCTTGATATCTCAAACTCTTAGGGGATCGCAAAAAAATTTAGAGATATCCAGTTGTGGAGATATCAAGAGTCAACTGTATTGTAATAAATGTCTCTTGATTAGGTCATTTTGTAAACAAAAACAAAATGTCTCTTGATTAGGTCATTTTGTAAACAAGCTAAAAGCTTTTTCTTAAAGGTTTATGCATTTTTTTTTTATTGTTTTTGATTGTAGACAATAAAAGAAGGCAGAAAAATAAGTGCATACACAAAGTTTACTACAGATGCTGTTGCTGCTGCATCCACTACACCTCAAGATTTTGCAACGGTTAGAGTTATATTGTATAAATAAAGCTTTTTTGTCAACAGATGATTTTTTTCTAAGCAACAACAAAAAAAAGAATTAAATGTGTATTATTAATTATGTGTGAAAGTTTATTTTTATACTAAATTATGCACATTATATGTTTGCTTGTAAATGAAAACAAGTAAGTGGTTTTTAAATATTATTTTTTAAATATAAACTTATGCTTTAATGGAATATGTTTAAATTTCTTTAATCGCTTTATGCCAAACATGGTTTTAATATCAAAATTACTCAAATACATTTAAACATATTGTTATTGGAAGTTAAACAAATTTCATTTCATTCTAATAAAAATAAATTTGTTAAAAGCTTGATTGGTTCAGAAAGAATATATATATATATATATATATATATATATATATATATATATATATATATATATATATATATATATATATATATATATATATATATATATATATATATATATATATATATATATATATATATATATATATATATATACTTATATACTTATATACTTATATATATATATTTATATATATGTATATTTGTATTTATATAATATAATATAGTTATATATATAATTATATCAGTAGAATCATATATATATATAATTATATCAATAGAATCATATATATATATATATATATATATATATATATATATATATATATCAGGCCTTGCGATAAAGCGTCGGGCGATGTGAATTTTACGTTGTCCAAGAGCGATTTTGCGTGTAGCTAGGGCTATTTGCGTCAAGCAAAAAATTTTTTGTTTGAGTATATTTAAAGATATTTTTGAGCGGAATTTTAATGAAGTAATTTACGATTATTTTAACATTTAATAAAGTATTTTAAAAACCGCTCGCAGTTGATATAAAAGTTTGAATTACAAAAAAAATAAATATCCTCAATATTTACAAGTAGAAAAATTCAGATTAAAAAAAAATTCAAATCTTTTTAAGCTAGCATTTTAATAAATATATTCAGCAATAGCAAAGTTGTCGATAAAATTGAACAAAAATACTTTCTTTTAGATTTTTAACTTAAATAATTATTTTACGGGCGTTTGTTAGGTTTTAAAATCATTCCATAGATTTAAAAATATTTATTAACTGTTAGACGAATTTAGAGTATTTAAGAGTAATTTCGAGAAAACATTTTAAAAATTGGTAAGCGCGAATAAAAAAAAAATAAAAGGATTAATATTAAAACGTATTCTACTTGATTCAATAAAAAGTACAGTTATTAAAATTTTTGTAAAAAGTAACTCGAAAAAAATTACTTAAATAATAACAATCGCTTTTTTGTTAAAAGTTACCGAAACTCAACAAAGCATGCTCAAGAACAGCTGCTGAAAAATAGTACGTCAATAGTTTTTCGAATAATTTTTAATAATAATTTTTAAGAATAATTTTTTCGCTGAAATATTTTTTTTATACCTTAAAGATTTTTATTCTAACATTTTATTTTACTTTACCAAAAATAAAATTCCTTGTAAACATTAAAAATTTATTCAAAACGTTCGTTAAAGTTTTTTAATAATAGGAGTGATTGTGCTTATCAACCGCTTTATGAAAATAAATAAAAATAAATAAATAAAAAAATATTATATAAAATCGCTAGTAAAAATATTAGCTATTGCACAGTTTTTAATCGTACATTATAAAAATTTCCAGTTTATTACTCTCTGACTTTTTAAAAAGAAAAAATAATTATTTGAAAAATTTTTTTTTTTTATTCGTTTAGTATAGACAAAATGTGTCAAACGTCGAGAAAATAAGCAAATGTTTTTACATTTTAACAAGCGAAACATTCTAAAATATTTTTAAATAATAACATTTCTACATTAATGATTTAAAGTAGTTTTGCGGTAATTAAGTAAATTGGTGCAGTTAATGTCGATATATAAGAAAAGCAAATAAAAAGAATTTAATGACGTCAAAAATCACGTTGTGCTTATGCGTTGTGCAGTTTTTATTCATCACAAGGCCTGATATATATACACACTTACTAAATCATATTTTCATAAGCATTTGCTCACTTTTTTTGCTTACCTTAACCCATACGGCTTTTTTAGAAAAAAAACGAAGAATGATGAATGAAACAATTGCTTCCCTATCAGTTTCAGTATGACGTCAGATTGCTTACCTTAGTACGCAATACTATTTGTGTGTGTAATATATATATATATATATATATATATATATATATATATATATATATATACACACACAAATGTATATTTTATATTGTATAAAAGTACTGTTGATTTTACTATGACAAAAAAGAATTTCACTCATAATACTTAAGGAAATGACTCAGCCTAATTTTTTTTGTGTTTTTTAACTTTATTTGGTAAAATAATTTATCTCAAAAAGTGGTAAGTTGATACTAGTAACTCATATATTTTTTAACAGCTTTTAAACAGAAGGAAATAAAACACCTTTTAATGGATTGTGGCAAAGTTTAAACAAAGTAGTAAATAATGAAGAGCTGTCAGATGCTACTCGAGAGTGTGATATCAATGATTTGTTTATTATAATGTTTTTTTAAACTCGCATTAATGGTCAGTCAAAAGGGTTTATATCCCTTTAAAGTTAAACTTGAAATGCTTGAAATAAATTTTTGAGAGTGACAGATGGGTGCGGGTTACAGTAACAAAGTTCATAGAATCTGGAGTTTAAAAAATATCATAATCATATCTCCAATAAAATTCATCATCAGAAGCATAATCAATGTTTATTTTTGCATACTCACAAATATGCATATAGTTTAACCCATATTGATCCAGCATTCCTAAATGGTAACAAATAAATAATTTAATGTTTTGCTAATTCTGTTAATTTTGTTTATTTGCGATAAAAACCAGAACATTTATTTATATCCTCCAATCAGAACATTTCCTCCAAAGATATACTCTTGTTTTAATACTCTTGTTTTGCGCAAAAATTTATTTTTTCCTGTATTCACATATGTGGATTCTAGTAAAAAATTAAAAAAATTTGGTTTTAAATGGGTTAAAGCTTTTCTGCAGCTTATATATTATTTTCAAGCTTTCTCAGAAGACATGTGCTATTGCACGCCCTATATGACCACGCATACTTTTTTTTCAGCTACGGATTTTTGCATATATTGATAGTTTGTGTGTTGATAAATGTGCTGAAAATAGTTAAAAATAAACTCACCATAAACTGAAAAGAGAAACAAACTTAACGAATGATAAAATAAAGGATAAGCTAGATAAATTAAAAGCATAAAAACTAATATATTTTTTAATTTAAAATCCTTTTAATTAATTGTTCAAACTTATTTAATTTAAAAGCGTTTCAACTAATATGCTAATAATTTTTCTTATATTGCAACAATAGAGTGCATAGATTGATTGCGTTATTTATAAGGCGCAAAGTTATATCAGCATTGATCAAGAGTTCAAATCCTACTAATAGATAATTTTTTTTTTGATTTATTTGCCTTGTAAACATTAGAAAAAATCAAAGTTTCAAATTTCTTTGTACTAAAACATTTTTAAATTAAAATATATATATATGTATATATATATTTATATATATATATATATATATATATATATATATATATATATATATATATATATATAAATGTATATATATATATATAAATGTATATATATATATATAAATGTATATATATATATATTAACTTTATGATTTTATTTTTTCTTTTTTTATTCATTTATCATTAAGATTTTTATTTTTCTAGTTTAGTTTTGTATTTTATCTTTTTTTAGTTTTTATTTCTCTTTCCAGTTTATAGTTTGCTTATTTTTTATTTTAGTTTAAGTTTACATTTGTTTATCCAGCGCATCTTTTAAACGTACTAACTTAAAAACGTGCAAAAAGCTATGGCCAAGTTATCAAAACAAATTATTATATGTGTGGTAATATAAGGCGTGTGATTGCAAGTGTCTCCTGAGATTTTTGTAACAATTTTTTTTTACTATTCTTCTTAGCTTATATTATTTTGCAAAACACCTATTAGATATTTTTTCATCATGCATAAATTGCATGGACTAAACGCCACTTCATGGAAAATGTTTAAGCAAAAATTTTATTTATAAATGTTATGTTAAAACAAACCCACAAGATGAAGATATCTATTATATTGGACAGAAAAAACATTTAAAGATTGTTTTTTCAAATATAAAAATTCTTTTTTCTATGAAAGTAAAGCTAACTCCACCAAACTTTCTAAATTTATACTTGCATCTAATGAAATAAACTTGCAAGAGTAGTCTCAACACTTAAACACAAGTTCGTTTTACTTGTTTAATAAAGGCAATCAAATGGTGATGTAATTATGAAAAATTTTCCTTTCATGGAAAAATTTTCATAATTACGTCACCATTTGACCATTTCATTGCCTTCATAAACAGGCATTCATATATATATATATATATATATATATATATATATATATATATATATATATATATATATATATATATATATATATATATATATATATATATATATATATATAAAAGAAACAATATGTGGATTAACCCTTTTTATTTTATATACCATTAGCTCAGAATACAGATAAAGTACCAACAGTTTATATAGAGATGACGAGTTTGCTGTTTTTGCAATATTAGTGGACTGATATTGTGAAAACAGAAAACCAGCAATCAGAAATAATAAAAAAAATCTCATTTTTTTTAAGGAAAAATTCAAGCTAAATATAACAGTAAAAAGTTATTTAAAAACTGTTAACTTCTTTGACATTTTTGCTCAACCTGTCTAAATTTTTTTCCAATTCTTTTCAGTTATATAGAAAACCAGGTTACAATCCATTATATATCAATGTTAATCGAATCATCCTCTGAATATTCTTTAGTCTATACCCGCAATGATATTTAGCCACATTAGAATTATTTTCTCAAATAAAGAAGTATTCTTTAAGAAGTAATTCAATCTGTTCATCAGGCTGTTCCTTTTTATAATAAGTCTAGTGGGTTTAAAAAAAGCCATTCCTTTAAGTCTAGTGGGTTTAAAAAAAGCCATTCGCAACAACTCTAAAATTTACAAAATTACAATCACAAAACATTTGGTTCAACCCTTTTTTTTTCAATTTATGTCAAGATAAATGAAACCAAACTTTTCTTAATTTAATCAATAAAAAGTTTGTCAAATAATTATAAACTCCAAAATAACCTAAAAGTTATAGCTAGGCTATAAAATTTAAGTTAAGCTAATAACCTAAAAGTTAACCTAAAAGTTAACCTAAAAGTTAAGCTATAGCTATAGTCTCCCCAGTATTTGCAACATCATTACCTCGCACAACAATAACATTTTATCAAATACTTTAAACTTTAATCATCCATTGTTTAATTGCAGACAGATTGATTTATGCTTAATGGTAAACTTAAGAAAAAATTCATTTATATATGCATTTCTTTTGTCCTTTAAATCTAGGATCTCACCAAATATTATTTTTGATGAGCAGCCATTGCATAGTGTTAGCACGCTAGCTTTAGAAGCTAGAGATCCATGGTTTAACACCACATCTAGGCAAGTTTTATAACATTGGTAGGGAAGGAGGCGTAAACTTCTTTTCAAATGCTCTGCGGCGGTGCTCTGTTATAAGACTGTAAGGATTTCTTGGGGTTAAAATTGAAAAAAAAAATTCTGCCTTAGAATTTGCGTTTAACCAAGTAATACAAATTTCTGAACTATTCTTAGACATTTTCTGCATTTTATAAAGTTTACTTCTTTCCTTTAATTGGTTTTTCATTTCATTCATCATGATAGTGTTTATGTTAAGCCTTTGTTTTCACAAATATCTATTCTTCTTCATATTTTCCACCATTTTAAACATAAATAACTGGTTTTTGATGTGTAATAAAAGCCTTGCATTATTCTCATGGTACTTTCCTGATATGAAATTTTCCTTCCTGATTAGTCTACTTGTGAGGGCTATTTCTTAATCAGAAAATATTTACAACTACCTTATTCATCAGTTACTTTCTGTTAAAAAACACAACAATATAATAATTTACAAAACTTGGTGATGTATTAGCTGTGTTGAGTATTTTATACTTTATGTGTTGCAAGGACTTGTTGTGAAACTTTAATTTGTCTCTAACCTCTGATATCTCTTCATTCTGATGCACTTTTTATTTAAATTAATCCAAAGCTAATGCTACAATTAAGGAATTTTTGTCAAGACAGTAGTATAAAGTTAAGTTGTTTGCAAATAGAGTTGTCAGCAAATGAGTCACTTAAAATAAAAGATTGTTAAGAATATCGTTAGTTTAGAGAAGAAGTAAAACAGAACGTTAGTTTAGAGAAGAAGTAAAACAGAACGTTAGTTTAGAGAAGAAGTAAAACAGAACGTTAGTTTAGAGAAGAAGTAAAACAGAACGTTAGTTTAGAGAAGAAGTAAAACAGAACGTTAGTTTAGAGAAGAAGTAAAACAGAATCAAAGATAAAAGCTTGTGGTACTCCAGAAGTTATTGAAAATGAAGAGCAGTGTTAGTCTTTATCAATGAAAATGAAGAACAGTTTAGAGAAGTTATTGAAAATGAAGAACAGTGTTAGTCTTTATCAATGAAAATGAAGAACAGTTTAGAGAAGTTATTGAAAATGAAGAACAGTGTTAGTCTTTATCAATGAAAATGAAGAACAGTTTAGAGAAGTTATTGAAAATGAAGAACAGTGTTAGTCTTTATCAATGAAAATGAAGAACAGTTTAGAGAAGTTATTGAAAATGAAGAACAGTGTTATCAATGACTTTACTGTAGTGACGAAAAAAAAAATTAAATTTAAGTTTAAATTTTTTCCAGATAAACCATATGAAGCAAGTTTATAGAGAACACCAACATGCCAGACTTTATTGGAAGCTTTTGATATGTTGAGAGAAAAAGGCCTAGGTTTTAATATACAATAGAACCTTTCTGTTACACTAGTAAGCAAGTATAAATCAGTTAGTATAAGTCAGTTAGATTGTCAGAGAGTCAAGATGTTAGATTATATGTTATGTCATTAAGATTTTACTCAATTGTGTTATTTTATTTTCTACGAAATTCAATCTGAAGTTTTTTACCATCTATTAATTCTTTATTAACATCTATTAATAAACCAGTTTTTATTAACCTTTATTAACATCTATTAATAAACCTGTATATATTTAGAACTTTTTGGCTCATGCTATTAAGTAAACAATAGATTTCTTAATTCAATGGTGCGTTTTTATCAGAGTTGTTAACAAAGCCAAAAGTAGTAGGGCCAAGGACACAAGTCACAAGGGCAAGGTCAAGGCCAAGAATTTTAAGGTCAAGGCCATAAATAAGAGTTTCAAGGCCAAAGCCTACGCAAACATTTTCAAGACCAATCATTTAAATTTTTGTCTTACGTTAAGGCTAATTATTAACAAAACTGTAGATAGCAAATGCTGTGACAATAAAACCACGTGTAAAAATAGACTAATGTTAAGCGCAGAATTCAACGAAGTCAATAAAAAAATATACTTGTAGATATATATGAAAGCCGAAAACAAAAATACATAAAAATAAAGAATGAAAACCTTTAATTCTTTAATTTTATGTATTTTTTTTTAAGTTCAAGGCCAAGGACTAAGAACTCTGGATTTTATATTTTCCAACTTTTTATTTATTTTGCTTTCTTGTCGGTTTGTTTATTTTTTTTGGTATACTCGCAAAACAAGTACGAGGTCAGCGGTAATAATCAAAGAAATTAAAAGAAACAACGCAAAACATACTTTGGTAGTTAAAAAAGAAATATTAGATAAAAAAAATCGTATCATAAAAGAAATCGTTAAGAGAAGTAATGAAAACAAACAACAAACTTTTGGCGTTTTAGTAAAAACCCCTAAATATAAATAACGGACCCAAATCCTCATCCATTCTCGCAATATGTATCAAAACACCAACTTTTTACTGTTCACACTCTTCGTAGCATTTTAATGATTTTTACCTTCTAATATATTATTTCGTGACATTATTCTCGGTTTTCAGTTTTCAGGCTATCGATAAGTTTTCTGGATAATAATTACAACAGTGATACTGTTGGAAAAAAAACATGCAAGGAATGCAGTATGTAGTGTCATTGACTAACAGTTGACCATAATAATATATAATGTTAATACATTAGTTAACTTTGTCAAAGAAGAATTTAATTTCAATTACGAAAATTTTATTTCTTTAAATTTTTGACCAGATAATATTTTTTTAGGTTGATTTGATAATAAATTCTCCTTATTTAACAAAAAGTGGGGGAAAAACCACGGTTGCATGGTGGATTATTCTTCTTTGTGTGCTGGCTGCTATAATAATAATTTCTCTTATTGTTTTCGTAATGTATAAGGTAACTCACTTTTTTAATAAGAATTACTTTCTTGCGATTCGTTTTTTTACGTTTGTGTTATTAATTTACGTCTGCAATTCGTTTTTTACGTTTGCGTTATTTATTTATGTTTATATTTTAGAAAGGTTTCTTTAAACGACAAAATAAAGTTCCAACTGAAGAGCAAAGTGAATTACGCCGAGGAGAACCTGATGAAGAATAGTGTTTCATCAAATAGTTTCTTCATTTCTGTTGGTTATAAAGTGACGGCGTTTAAAAATATGAAACAAGTAAATAACCTTTCCCGGCAATTTAAAAACCTAAAAACGGGTGGTTCGTTTTTATGGTTTTTTGGTTATTATTCAATAAACCATTCTAGATTTCATGATTTTTTGTGGATTATGTGGCATCGTTGCTTCATATCCTGTTTAAACATTATACCAAATTTAATTATTTGAGTTTGATTTCTTTTTTTTTTCTTTTTTTCTTTTTCTTTTTTTTTAATTTTATACCAATTTAAAAAATATAGTTTTTGTGTTTTAATAATTTTTCTTTGTAAATTTTAAATTTCATAACTGTACATGTAAAATAAAACTTGTTTATGGTGAGAGAAACCAGATGCACGCTAAATAATTTTTAGGACAGTTTCTTAAATTTCTCTTGTTTTTTGTTGTTGATTTTTTTTTTTTCTTTCTTTCTTTTTTTTTTTAATTTTAATTTTGTGTTTTCAATTGTTTTTATCGACATTCTCGTCAAATCGAAAACCTTTTTAAAATTATTTATTTTAAATAATATAAAATATCGAATTTTCTAGAAAGGTGAAAAGTAAATTTACAAGTTATTAAAATAAGTTTGAAGATCATTATTGTAAAAGAATGTTGTGTCAAAATGTTTTTTAAACCTTGTAAATTAATTGTTTTTGTTTTTTTAAGTTATTATTTTTTTAATAATAAATTGTTTCTAATATTTATTTTTTATTTTTTTAAGCAAACTCCCACTTCACTGTCATAATTTATGATATAATTTTGAAAATATCATATGCTTTGTATGCGTTATTGACAAACTTTATATGCGTTATTGACAAACTTGAATATGAAAAAGTTCCATTTGGCAGCATTGATTTTTGAAGTCGCGTTCTCAACCTCAAAAAAGCCATTTCAGTGTCTTCTACAAAACGTGTATATATATATATATATATATATATATATATATATATATATATATATATATATATATATATATATATATATATATATATATATATAAAAGTCCTTAAATAACCTTAAAAAAAGTTAAAATTTGACTGCTCTCTTTAATTTCTCCTTACTTTCTTTTTTTTTATCATAGGAATTTTTATTAAAATAAATAGATTATACTTATATAGATTAATAGATTATATCTATAAAAGCATATAGTTACTTAGTTACTTTTTTAATGATTTAAAATCCTATACTTTGTTTTATATATATATATATATATATATATATATACATATACATATGTATATGTATGTATGTATATATCACATAAATACCCCATATATATCATATATGTATATCATATATCAGCCCTCCGTATTAAAGTTTTTTTTTTTTTTGGCTTTTTGCATTTGACTTTCATTTTCTTTAAATAATTTTATTTCGTTTTCTTTACAAGTGAACACCACACTATAAGGGAAGAGTCTTAGTATTTAATTGACTCTCTTTTTTAATTAATCCTATATATATATATATATATATATATATATATATATATATATGTATATATATATATATATATTAGGGTGGGTCATAAATTTATATATATATATATATATATATTAGGGTGGGTCATAATTTTTTTTTTTTTTCTTGTTACAGGCTCTAAACATTGTGTATAGTTATTAATTGTGATACTATCAAATATGAGAATGATTGTGATAGATTTAAAGGGCGCAACTATTGGGAAAATTACCGGTTCCCTAATATTTTGGAGGAAAAAAGTTTTTCAAAAGTAGGTCAACCTGGTACTCAAAAGAAGCGAAATTTTATAAACAATTCGAAAATAATAATCGTTTTATAAAAATCACATTGCCGAAAAAAATGTAATCATAAAAACTTGTAAAAATGCACTCTTTTCATTTTTAGTTTAAAAACCATAGTTATTATGCAATAAAATCTAAAATAAAAATTTTTTGTATAAGAAAGTTATTATTTTTGAAATTTTTAAAATCTCGCTTTATTTGAGTACCAACATCACATAATTTTGAAAAACTTTATTTTTAAATAATAATAAGCCCTGCTAATTTTTGTAATTAAAGTTGCCGGTTGAAGACAACAAAAACAACTTTCTAGACCATAGACAGGTTAGCAACTCAAAAAAAAAAATTTATGACCCACCCTAATATATATACCTAATTACAGCTAAATATGTATACTTTAGGAAAGAAACCATTAGCAAGATGTTAAGGTAAGTTTCCACTCATCCGTTTTTCTACGGGAACGGGATAGGAAAGGGAAAAATATGGGGATGCGTAGTATAAGTTTTAATTTGTCCGAAGGAAAACTACGCATGCTCACGTGATTATTTTTCTCTTCCCTTTCCCGTTCCCGTAGAAAAACGGATGAGTGGAAACTCAACTTTAAACAAACTTGATATTAAAAAGATTGAAATATATTTTTTTCACCAATTACCTTTAAATGCCTGAATATAAAAGTAGTTTCCGGGATATTTGGTTAAAAGATGATAGTTACACTTCTTCGCTTCAAAAAGATAAAAATTCCAACCTTGCAAGATGCAAGGTTTATTTTAAGTCATTCTCAGTAGCAGCCATGGGCATAAAAGCTCTTGATGTACATGCGAGAGGAGCAAAGCACAGAGAGCAATTGCCTAAAAGAAGGTTATGTTGTTTCGTTCCAAGAAACTTTGCAATCAGTACCACAGAAGCCTACCTCATCAAAACTATGTATTATTTTATATATGCTTCAAAAGGAAACAGTTTTGAAAGCAGAATTAATTTGGTTTTTAGATATTATTCAAAGCAAATACTCTTTTAGATCAAGTGAGAATAAGTCTAAACAATTTACTTCGGTGTTTCAAGATTGCAAAATCGCCAGCGACTTTTCCTGTGGTTGAACAAAATCTGGCTATATATAACTCATAGTCTTAACCTGCTGTACAACTTTGTATGTCTTTTTAATACAATAAAGTTGTAAAAAAAGGTCAAATGGACTTACATGTGCAATATTGGAATGAAGAGAGTAATACTGTTTGTTCATACTCAGAAGTAATACTTCTGAGTTCATGGGAAAAGTTGCATCCCCTGGTATTCTAAATATGTTGAAATCCTGTATGACTGTTTAAATGTTGAAAAAAAGGTTTCTATGGATGGCCTTAATGTAAATAAACTGGTTTTGGAAATGCTCAACAAAGAACGTCATAACAATAAATTAAGTATACTCATTGATATTGGTACCTGTGGTTTACATACTATCAATGGATCCTTACAAACTGGTGCTAAAGATACTGATTGAAACTTAAAGAAGGTAATGTCTTCAATTTGAAATAATTCAAAATTGGCAAAATCTTTAACAATTGTAAAAGAATTTTCGGAATGTCATGAAAGCACTCTACTAAAAACCTTTGAAGAGAGATTTGATAAATTAGAAGAAAAATTTTACAACGAATTTGAAAAATTAAAAAACGACAATGCTTTACTGAAGAGAGAAGTAGCTGAAGTTACTAGAGCAATGAATTTCCAGAATGAATATTATGAACAAATTGTTAAGGAACCAAATGACCTAAAAGTAAAACTCAATAATTACAACAAAGACAACGAGAATCTAAAATGTACTGAATTTATTCAAGATAAATTAGCAGAGTTAAAAGATAGGAGTATACTCCTATTCTTAGGAGTATACTCCTATTCTTCTTCTTTTTCCGGATTTGTGCTTCTTCCCAGTCCTGTGTGCTCTTTCGAGTTTCTCCTTTAAGAACTCTTTAACCTTCGGTTCACTATCTTCCCTAGTTTCTTCTTCTCTTTCGTCAAAGCCATCAAAACAAAGATTGTTTCGTCTACTAGTAGACGAAACAATCTTTGTTTATACTAGTAGACGAAACAATCTTTGTTTTGATGGCTTTGACGAAAGAGAAGAAGAAACTAGGGAAGATAGTGAACCGAAGGTTAAAGAGTTCTTAAAGGAGAAACTCGAAAGAGCACACAGGACTGGGAAGAAGCACAAATCCGGAAAAAGAAGAAGAACTATCGTGGTAAAGTTTCTTAACTATAAAGATAGAGAAATCGTATTAAATGAGTATAAAAAAAGAAAGCTATGGAACGAAAAAATATATTTCAACGAAGACTATAGCAATTGCACAATCGAAAAAAGACGATTTCTATTTACAAAAGCAAAAGTACTTCAAGCTGAGGGTAAGTTTGCTAAAGTTATATATACCAAACTTGTAACGCGCGCCTCAGAAGTATAAGAAATTCTTTTAAATTTTATTTAGCACACAAAAAATGATGACTGAAAAAATATATAAAATGGATGACTATGAATCACTTATTTTCAACTTTAGAAACTTTAAATAGAAACTTTTAGATAAAAAGTATTGAAAATTTAGGTAAGAAGTAAACAAGTTATGATTTTGTCTAAATACTATTTATTTTTTCATTAATTTTTTATTAATTTTTTTGCATAGGACTTAAAATATTTTTTTGTGTAGCTATAAATAATAAAAAATATATAAGTATATAAGCGTATATAAGTAACTAAGAGTAACTAAGGTAATTTCATGTGTTCCTTTGGGATTAAAAGATTTTTAGGGTAGATTAAATTACATATTTATTGGTCGATGTTAATTCTTTTTTTTTTTTTTTAATGATGTTATTATTTTGGACCTGATAAAAACACAGATATTAAGTATTTTAATGATTTAAAAATAGATTGTTTTTATCATTATGAATTAAAAGAATTTCTATCTAAAAATGGCGATGAAAGCAAAAAAATTAGAATTGTCCATATAAATATAAAAAGTATGAACAAAAATTTTGAAAATCTTCGACATTTTATAGAAAAAACTAAAAACTATTTTGATATTATTTGCTTAACGGAAACTTGGTGTTCACAAAATGAGCTTAATAATAACTCTGTGTTCCTAATTTTGAAACAATTTTATTAGAAAGACGATTAAATAAACGCGGTGGAGGAATTCTGATTTACGTAAAAAAAAACATTGCGCATAACGTAAGGAATTATTTTAATCCAGTCAAAATAGACAAAAAAAATAGTGGTAGATTTGCAATAATTCGCATAGAGCTGAAAATTGATACATACCTTGAGCACATTATAACAAATAAAGTATTAAAAGTCCCCATCGATCCCATATCTGCAAAAAAAGTTATTCAAGGTCTAAGGTATAAAAAAAAAGTTGTTTTTTTTTTAAAAAAAAAAAAAAGGAAATGTTTTAGCATAAAAATAGATCAGTCAAATGCGAAGTGCATTTTAACGCATTTTTGAATAAACTGATTCAGCGGCTTTTTTTCGATCTTGTATAAGAACAATTAAAAAAGCTTTTTTCGAATAATTTTTTAAATTGATTTTACTCCTCTGACTTACCAAAATTCTTGGAACAAAGTTACGAACGATGAAATACTTTTAGTGTTGAACGTTCTATTGCAGTGAATAGTATCGACTAGTATTTTTTATTACGATTGGAACCGTTTTAATACTTTCATTAAAATGTCGCAACTATGTTTTATTTGTAGTAAACTTTTAACATCAATTGAAACTGTTGTTGTTGATCGTGGAATGAAGACTTTGATTGATACGAGTGTTCAAAGGAGTGACGGTTTTTATGAAGATCTGAAATTCTGTGACGATTCATGTGGTGCCTTAAAAAGTATACTCGGAAGAGTACTGATGCTGCATTTAAAAGACAACAAGATGTCGATCAGCACGTCTGAAAATAATCACCTTGTACCAGAG